TTCAGTGTATATATATATATATATATATATATATATATATCTTTATTCATTTTAGGGTGATGCGACCTGGACATGTTTTTTAAATTTATTTATTTAAACTCAATCCCTCAGAAACAATCACAACATTTTTTTTTTGTTATTATTGATAACCATCTCAAGTTTTTTGTCATAATTTTTAGATTGAATTTAATGTTTAAATTATTTATTGAAAATAAACAATTATTTTTCATTATTGCTAAATAATTAATTATCTTAAAATTATGACATGAAAATTGTTTGAATATGAAAACTCTAATTATTGTATGTTTGTGTCGATCATTAATTTATATGTAAATGTGTTCATTTGTGTTTGAGTTTTAAGTGATTTTCATCATATAAATGTTGCCATGAACTGTCAAGACTTTTCCTTGTAAATGACTAATTTGTCACAGTTAAGAAGAACCGTATTTCAAATGTATGAGCTAATGATAATCAGTGCTTCTTTTGAAACCGATCCATCTCACCTGATAGAGATCGTACATGAACATCTGGCCCATCTTGTAGACGGGGATGGTGGCGTAGATGGTGCAGTTGAGCCCCAGCTTGCCCACAGCGTACGGTAAAGCGCCCAGATGCAGATGATCGGGGTGAGAGAGCAGCACTGCGTCCACCTGATGCACATACCTGACAGAGACAGGACAGGAAATACACATCACAAACAGGAAATGATCTCAATAACACCACCTCACCATCCAAAGATCATACCGCTTCAGGGAATCTATGATGTCCATGGAGAAACTTTCATCCCAGCCACAATCCAGCAGGAAGCGGAACTCGTCCACCTGTAACAGGTAACACAGAGCCGATTCCTCCTGGACTCCGGAAAGAGCCGTCAGCTTGATGATGGACGTCATTCTGCCGTCTGACCCATGGATGCACACAAGAGATCATCCGTAAATAACTCCCATTTAGTCTTGAGCATTTGCTTGTTTTAATAGTCAGAATGAAAAGTCAGGTGCTAAAAAAGTACCACGTTTTTGGACATGTACCATGGCAACAACATGGTATTCTTTGAATAACTAATTCATAACATGGTATATAAATATGGAAATAAATCACAGTACTGCCATAGTTTTATCAATATCCGTAAAACCACGGTATTGTAATGGTACCACCATGGAAAACCATTTAAATGGCAAGAATACATTACCATAATCATGATATCTCATTATATTTATCCAAATACTATTATCTAAAACCAGCCAATTATGATACAATAGTAATGAATATGCAAAAAATAACAGCGGTATGTAATGAACAGAACTATAAGTTCAGGACACAGATTGAGGCAGAAGGGCAAAGAATGAATGAATTGAATATTCATAAACCTTCATACATGATACAGTAACTCGGCTTCAGAATAATCTGAACTCAATGAAAACACACAGCAGCCAAACCAATGAAGAGATTTACTTTAAAAACTGACTTGCTTTATGTACATTAAAACGTGCATACCCGTATCTCGTTATGTCACTTTTGATCTCAGTAGGTTTGGTCAATAATAAGTGGTGGAAATCGCTGAAAAATCATGTTAAATTTATGGTAATGTTTCAGATCGGCGGCATGAGAACAGCAGCCATTACTGCCGCTGCGACGTCACTGGACTCTA